GAAAAAATTGCATATAAAGAAATTTTTTAAAAAGCCACAAATTAAGTAATACTCAAATTTAAATATATTAAAAATCCGATTACAGGCTTTAAATTGGTTTAAAATTTTAGCCTTATAGTCACATAATTATTCAGGTATCACGATCTAAAAATTAAAAATGAAGTGGTACAATAATTATGGAAGTCACTGTATATAATATTTAAAAAATAAGATGTTATTAGAATTAAGTTTATTTTTGCCTGCAAATTATTAAATTTAGCTTAAGTCATGTGACTCACGTGATGCAATTTTAGGTATATCAATCATTATCAATTATTTGTATTATTTTCAATCATGATTGTCGAATTTGTCTATAAATCAGAAACTGAGTTTGTTTATTCTTTTTTTTCATTGTTTAATTGTAGATCGTTTAATAGATCTAATATTCGAAGTTCTCGATCGTATTACAATGAGTTATGCAGGCCTATTTTTTGGAAATTTTGACGAGGAGGGACAACTCGAGGGTGCTGGTTTCGATGAAGTACTTGTTTATGCAATTTGCAATCAACGTATTTTGAATAAAATTTAGGTGATTTTAGCAAACACTTACCGTTTTTATATGATTTATCTAGGAAGTTCGAGAAAGTTTGCAGAGGGTCGCAGGGGAAACCGATGTTTTGAACGAAATTTTTTCGGTTCGTTCATTGGGTATTGACGATAAAGAAGAGGAGGATGCAATAAAAAGTGAAGTATCAACCCAAACTCCAGTACAAACACCTGGTGACTCAAGTATTAAGCCTGAGGAGGATGCAATTGATTATTCAGATTTCAATGAACTAGCTGATGAAACCATGTTTTCAGAAAAGTACTATCAACAAGGGGTTAATAGTGTTATAAACATCAAAAGATCATTATCTTTTCCGCCATTACAACTACACAGTTTAGAGTCACCTGGAAAAGAAACGGATCCTAAAATTTTTGAAGATCCTTTATATAACTTAAACAAAAAATCGGATATTTATAGCGTGGCCATGAAGGAAACGTTACAAACTGACGAGCTTCAGAAAATTATTTCAACTTTCACAGCTACTGCTCCTCTACAGAATTTACCTATTATGGATAACGAATCTCAAAAAGTTGTAAAACAAAGCACTGAAGAAACAAAATCGGAAATAAATATAAAGACGTTATATCCTGCTTTCGAAAAAGATAGAATCTTGAAGTTTTCAGAATTATTTGCAACTAAGCTCACACAGCGTAAATTACATCAATTGAATATACATGGTATTGCACTCTATCATGCTTTGCGCTGCTTTATTTATATATTTATTATATAATTTACATTAATTTATTAAATTTGATTATTATTAGCCGAACCACAATCAGAGTTCAAATTTGCAAAAGATGAACGAGAACTATTTGAATCATCAAAACAATTTGATGCTTCAGCTGAAGAGAAATTTGAGGAGTCAGAAGATATTATTGAGCTCGTTTCATCTTCACCAATGACTCAAATTTCTGGTGGTAGCATGTATGGAAGTGATTTTGAAGCGGAAGTTCATAATGTAATAGTTTTTATAACGATAACTCAATATGAATTAACTTTTATCAATTACAAAACTAAATTATTGTTATTCCGGTATGTAATAAATATTCTAGGATAAACTCTTTGAAACAGAAAAGTTATCTTGGAAAATTCCAGAAAAAAATAATGCATATTATTCTATTGTTATGGACACTTGGGAAGATAAGATTTTGTGGGATAGCGATGATGAAGACCATGCGAGGTATGGGCAGCTGTTTAATATATAAACTTATTAAATGACATTAAAAATGAATACTTTATTCATAAAAATGTTACAAATTTTTTTAGCCTTGACATGGATTATATATCTGAGTCAGAGGTATTCATTATCCATATCGAAATTCATAAAGCTGAAGTGTTTTATATTCAAACTTTTTTTAATAATATTAATTAGGAATCTAATGCTATAATGGCTTATCGAAATACTGAATTGGAAAGTGGGGAGTGGATTAATCATATTTTATGGGATGATTATAATGGACCTATCCCTTTTGCTAAATTAACATTGGACATGAATGATCCAAATTTGCTTTTTGATTATTCTGCCCTCGAACCACCAAAACCAATGGTTTTTGATTTATCAGGTATATTCAAAGTTGTAATCCCTTAAATAGATAAAGTAATTACAAGCTCATGTTCTTATTTATATATAAAGGCAGAAAGATAATTAAATATAATCCACCAAAGGTTTTTTTTTTTATTTTTGTTGGACAAGTTATCATAAATCTTTGGTACTTTTGGTTAACTCTTCCATTACTATATGTAGAAGCCTTTCGGATTGCCCTATAAACCTGAAAGACGAGTATTTCAAAGACGACTTAATTTTGGGCGAATGTACATTCAACATTCCTTACCTGCCCTTCAATTACATTCACAATATGTATGTTTAGTTTGAGGAAATTGTATATGTTAAATTATATTTTTTTAATGAATAGTCACTTAATATTATATATATTAAAGTTCAAAACAAAGTTCACTAAATCGGATATTCGGGCATTACATCGTCCATCAATTCAATTTCCACTTGAACAAGAAATTCATTTTAATAAAATGAAAAAAATCAAAAAGAAAAAATTGAGAAATCGTGAGGCTATGAAAAAACCAAAAGATTTAACACTCAAAGATAAATCCGATTACGTTTTATTTGAGTATTCGGTATGTATTCATAGTCTCTAACTTATTGTTGTTTTGATTATATAATTATATTGATTTAAGAATTTATTAACGCTTTATGTACTATACTGTTCATTAGGAGGAATATCCACCAATATTATCGAACATCGGAATGGGTACTTTATTACTTAATTTTTATAGGAAAAAAGATCCAAAAGATTCATTTTTGCCTAAGGTTATTAATTATTGTTATGTTTTACAAAAATTGTTCTCAATTTATAAATCTCGTCAGAAATAAACAAGATCAGAAACTAACAAAATTTTATTAATAGCTTGATATAGGTGGTCCAGTTGTACTTGATGTGATTGATGAATCACCATTCATGAATTTTGGTAACGTGGAAAGAGGACAAATCATATCTGCATTATATAATAATTTAATTAGAGCGCCGTTATTTAGGCACGATGTCAATGATACAGATTTTTTAATTATCAGGTTAATATTCTGTCTTTGCAGTTGTATTATCTTTTGGTAATTATTTTAATTTAATTTTTTATTTTAAAAACAAAAAAAGAAACACGAATAAGGGTAGATCAAAATATTTTATACGTGAGTTAAAGAACCTTTTTGTAGTTGGTCAAACATTTCCAATGCAAGAGGTTCCTTCACCACCATCTAGAAAAGCAAAAACCATAGCAAATACTCGTATTCAGGTTGCTGCCTTTAGATATATGAAAAAGAATAGATATAATCTTTTAGTTCAGGATAAACTTACTAAGAAATTTCCGGATTATTCGCTTCAGACGCTTCGTGGACGTTTGAAGGTAAACCGAGAGTGTATGTTTATAATACGGTTGCATTTAAAATTATTGTATACTATTAATTATTAATGAATCATAATAAATTCATACTTATTAGGAATTTGCCGAAATGGCTCGTAAGAAAGGAAATTTCAACAATAGTCCCATTTGGAAATTAAAACCTTCAGTCCGTCTTCCTACCGAAGATGAACTTAGAAGGATGTTGACTCCAGAGATGGTTTGTAATCATTGACATTTGACTTTACACTTCTTTATAAATCTCTGATTAATCTATTTTAAAAGATTTGTTTAGAAGAAAGTATGATGGTGGGAGAAAGACATTTGCAAGATGCTGGGTATAAATCAATGTGGACTGACGAAGACGACAAAAGCAAAGCGGCTAAGAAAGATGATGATGACAGTGTACAAGATGACAATAAATTAGCTATTGAGGAATCTAAACTTGCTATTGAACAACAATTAGCCCCATGGATAACCACGAGAAATTTTCTTAACGCTACCCAGGTATTTAATGTTTCGTATTCAGATGATTCTTTCATTTATCATTGATTAATTCTTTTTTTTTTCTCGTCACGATTTTATAGACAAATGCCATGTTAAAATTACATGGCGAAGGTGATCCTACAGGACGAGGCGAGGGTTTTAGTTTTATTCGAATTTCAATGAAAGATATCTTTCTTAAAGCAGGCGAATCTGCCCAAGATAAGCTTGGTATGAACGAGATTTAATCAATGAATTCAGTATAATTGAAGGTTAATTATCAGCTTACCTATTCCTTATTCAATATACAGCTGAAATAGAGAGTAAACCAAAAAGTGGACACAAGTATAATGTAGTTGAACAATGGAAAAGATACAATCAAGAGGTATTCCTTTTAAGAAAAGAAAAGGAGCACACATGAATAATTATGGTTTTTTACGCGTTATAACATATTATTATATTCAACAGATTTACCGTATCTGGAATGCTCAATATGCATCTCTTAGCAAACATCGAGATCCTAATATGGATTCTGTAAAACAAGAAGTTAGCCTTGATGATGCAGGAACTTATTCAAATAATCAATTCATGAAAGAAGATGATAATCAGGTACATTAGTAGTAGTAATAATAATATTACCATTTTTTCGTTGCAAATTTTCTCATATACTTCAAAATTGCATAAGATTGATAGTGATGTTGACTACCAGAACATGATTGATTCTGCAATGCCTGATCGGGACGAATCAATTTCTCCACTTCCTAATACACCTGCAGAATATGATGATGTGACGTCTATTGATGGAAGTATAAGTTCTAGAGCGAATTATGATTTTGGATCCCATCGTAATAGGGCGCTTGTTATCAACAGACTTGTAAGTATAGACTGAAGGATAGAAGATCATAGCATTTTATTTGATTAGCTGAATATTTTTGCTTATATGTAGGTGAGATCATCAACAGGAGAAGCAATATGGACAAAGACACACGTTACAGATCCGGCTGTGATCAATGCATATATTAATCAAAGACAAATTATTGAAGAGCAGACTACGGCGTATGATACATTTATTTCCTGATATTAGGTTTCTTTTTTAATTATGTGTATGCACTCTTCTTTATTATATATATTTTCTATGCATTTATAGCGCTGAGTTATTAGAACCTACGAATGATGAAGAAAGGAATAAAAGATTGAGAAAAAGGTATGGATCTAAATTCTTTAATTTTTTAGCATTGTACGTTTACATACAATAAATTATCTTTTCAATTATGATATTTAGAATTCAAGATCAATTGGCCAAACTACGGAGAAATCAAGAAAGACGTCAACAGCGTAAAGCTGCTCGCGAAGCCGCAAAGGCTGTCGCAGCAGATTCTACATATGGACTACCAATTAAAGATAAGAAAACGGACACTATTGTAATATATATATTAGTTTACTATTTTCATTAAGTTACATGATTGAATGAATAATTTCATTAATTCGTTCATTTTTTAATAGAGACGTTGTGGTAATTGTGGTCAAACTGGTCATATGAAAACAAATAAAAAGTGTCCTCGCTACGGAATGAACGCAATTGGAGAAAATCCTATGAGCCCTTTAGCCGAGTCGTCTGAATCTGCCGCACCTACTTCTGATTCTCCTATGATTAAAATGGAAGGGAGCAAAATTTTAATAAGGTCAAAAGCAATTGCAGAAAAGTAAGAAATATGTTGTGAAAAGCCACGTGAACCACCGGATTTATCTCTTTTTTTTTTTTCAAATAATGGATGCCGAAGTCTAATTTAATTATCTTACATATTTTATCCAATTTTTCCGTATGAAAATAGACCTCCCGAAACAACCAGAATAAAAATTACGTTACCATCAAGTATATTTTATTTGATATATAACATTGTGATATAAATTTTAATAATTTTATGTTATATAATAATTATAACAATTTTATCTTTTTATTCTAAAAAGAAGATGAAGCTTCAAAACGTAAAAGAAAGGCACCGGATTTAGATTCATCTGCTGACCGCAAACGGCCATTTATCGACGTAACCAGTTTAATCAGTAATGTAATCACAACACTTTGGGATACGGAAAACGTAACTACTTTATTAATTATATTGATTCGATTATTCTAAATTTTTTTTTTTTTTGATATATATTCAAATATATTTTCATACTCGTAAATATCTAGGCGCATCATTTTCATTACCCAGTTACTGCCGAAATTGCGCCTGATTATACTACAGTTATAAAAAAACCGATTGCTTTATTACAAATGCAAAATGTTGGTAACTTTATTATTATATAATCTTTTTTTTTTGATTTTCAAAACATTAATTTTTTTTTTTGATTTTTTATTCTAGAAACATTCTCGCGGTGAATATAAAAATATTGCGGAATTTATGCAAGATATGAAACTAATGGTTAATAACTGTCGAACCTATAATGGTGATTCTAGTGGATATACTGTAATTGCTAAAAACTTGTTTGCTAAGGCAGAAGAATTAATCAGAGAAGCAGGATTTTAATGAAACTATTTATTCAAATTAGGATTATTATATCTCTTTTTCTTTTTTTATGTAATAAGAAAGTTATAGGAACATTTAAAATATCGCATCCGATAAAATGAAATATTAATGTCGCACGAAAATCATTTAATGGAACTTTCTTGAACAATTTAGAAAAAATTTATGTGCAACCAATATTTTAAAGATTAGATCAGTGCGTCATTTTAAATACAAAAATGTTCAAAACGATCGACCTAATTTTCCGAATTTGAACATTTATTAATTTGCTGTATCCAAATTAATACTAACCTAAAAATTTTTACGAATAAATTTTTAATAAATTCGATCCTTCTCATTATATTTTTTTATTTTATTTATTTATTTATTTTTTTTTTGAAATCGTTTTCAATATGTTGCCATCATTACCAGTTGAATGTCTTGAAGAAATAATAAAAAACCTTAAAAATGATTATAGATCATTACATTCTTGTATGCTTGTAAATTATTTGTGGAGTTCCGTTTCTGTTCGTTATCTGTGGAAATTCCCTTTTGGATTTTTTAAGGAACCAAAAGGATCGATAATTCAAACATATCTATCTTGCCTTCCTGAAAGTTCCAAATTAACATTGCTTAAAGATGGTATAGAAATACCTTCCACTACATCACATGTGCCTACGTATAATTACCCATCATTTATACGAAAAATATGTATTAAATCATTATTTTTTACGACGGAGGCTTTATTTGAAAAATGTGAACCATTATCAGTTCTCTTAATTGTAAGAGAACTTTGTAAAGTTTTTATCGCAAATTCGTCAAAAGTGGAACAGCTTGAACTTACATTTTATCATTCTAGTTTAAAAAATATTCCAATTGATTATCCGGTTTATGATTGGTATTTATTATTACCAACATTTCCGGGAGCGAGTTGTTGTTTATCAAATTTAAAAGAATTAATCTTGGATCAGAATTTTGATCAAAGAGGATTTCTATCCGCATTATCAGAAATAAGTCATAAAATAGAAAATTTAGATGTTTATTATGGTAATAATCATGATTTAGCCTTGGAAAAATTAATTAAAAATCAACGAAATCTTAAAGTATTTTCAACATTCTTGTATGAAGGAGATTGGTCAATTGGTCCATCACTTTGGCAACATGGAAGTAGTTTGAAAGAAATAATTTTTCATCGGGTATATTTTAATGATTGTACATCTTTAACTGGTTTGGCGATGTGCGTTAATTTAGAACGATTGATATTTAAAGAATCATTTTACCTTCGAAAGGAATTAATGGATGAATTTTCTATTGAATGTAATTTACCGAAACTTAAAGAATTTAGATATGAGAGTGTATTTTGGGAGATGGAAGACGTCACGTATGATATCTCATCAATGTTGAAACGAACAAATAAGAGTTTAAAGTTTTTAACTTTTAATGATTCATTTAGAAACGTTCGATCACCACTTTGGGAATCTTCAACTCCTTACATTAATTTGCAGAGTATTGAAACGATTACCAAATGTTGTCAAAATTTGGTTTCAATTGATGCAACTATTACGAACGTGTTAGCATCAACTTTCTTAATGACACTTTCATCATGTAAAAGACTTCAAGAACTCATCCTTTACTTGAATAATGATGTAGAACTTGAGGATTATTTACCCGCGATTGGAAGGAATCTATCCAAAAGTTTAAGAATATTAGAAATTTCGACGATAAATGATTTTTCGATCAAATCATTAAATGAATTATTATTTAGTTGCAAACCAAGATTATCAACGATTAGATTCTTGTACTCTAAATGTTTTAACGATCAATATTTGGATGTGATCGTGAATTATGTAATTGAAATTGGTGGGTCTTTGGATGAGTTGAAGTTATATTCAAAATCAAAGGTGTCTGATGAATCTTTAAGGAAAGCAAACGAATATGTCAAACTTGTAGAATTTATTGAATTTTGTAGCTTGGTTTGAAATCAATTTTATTTTATAAATAAAATCCTAATTTATATTATAATGCATCATATATATAATGAATTTACCAAGTTAAAGGTATTTTAATTTCTTCATCTTTTAAAATATTTTTTTTTGTTTTTTTTTAATCGGTGGTGGTGTAACATGTTAACGTGACATCATAAGATGACGAGACGCGTCCATGATGACCTGTATGTAGTTTATTAATGGATGACACCCATCCAATAACGGTTAATAAAAATAGTCCGAGGAGTACAAGTATTTTTGTCGTACGGTTTGTTATCGAGATATTTTTATCTAAACCACGCGAAGGTCATTTGACCACAATGATCCTTTCTAAATATTGAAAAAACTTCGAAAGACGGAAATTTATCGATAGATATCTGCATTAGCATTGTCATATTATCTTTGGGCGTTCATTATTTACTTATTAAATAGCCACAATCATCAAAATGTTGTATCGTAATAAGATAAAATTAATCTTGATAAAGAACAATAGGATTTTTTTTTGATATTATTGATTAGGGAAGCAAACTCCTGAGCCCATGAAACTTTAAAAACGCGTAAAAAAGATTCCAAAAGTCATCACTTTTAAGGCGATCATTTATTCCCTGCATATTGATTGAAAATTATCTTACCATTTATGTATATGCCTAAGAACAATGCTAACGTTCGCGTGAACCAATTTTTTTTAATTATTGTTGATAGGAGGAGGGTGATCCAACAAACATGTACCCACATAAGCCTATAAGCAATGATTTATTCGTTTTTTTTTTTTTTTTTTTTTAAGTTTACTTAACATATTCGTGATATGATGAAATAAGATATGAAAACGAATCATGGCATAAACCGAATATAGCTTGTCAAACATGACAACTTTTGACAGACTATAGTCACTTATGCTTGATTATGTTCTCCACTATTTTGTATAACAAACACCTGAGCGCATCAAAATGATGTGATAACTAGGTGAATTGATCATAATAAAAACGCATCGTTACAAAAATTAATTTTATCTGAGTGAAGGAAATAATTGGTTTTGGTTCGTTCTATTCAGGAAGACGCCTTCCAAAAAGTCACTAATGTGCCCAACTGTATATGTTACAAAACATTAAAGTCATTTGATGTTATCTTGCTTTCAATGAATGTATATATTTGGATTTTTTTTTTTGATGGATTAAGCAGATAATGAATATCGCTTACACCAATGGTGTGACCTTTTAAATCTTAACATTAGTAGTGACGTATGTAAAAATTAATTCGAAAAATGTAAAGGAAGATGAAGCGTTCCTCTTTGGCATACAGTTCTTTAAATACTCGAAGATCTAACTCATAATCATAAATAGTTTGGAAAATCAGGTTCTACGAAATTTATCAAATTTTAACAGAGTTGGATTTCTTATATTCCATATCTCGGGTTTAAATAACACTCAATGCATTACCCTTTAGATTGAGTGGGTCAAACAAAACGAGATAAAAAATTGAATATTAGGGTATTAATGGTTTTGATCAATGCGCCAATAAATAATTTTTTTTTTTTATATGTAACTAAATTGTCAATTGTCAATTTATTTGCCAAAATTGTTTACATAATTCAAATAATTATAGATTTTGTATTTCGATTTATACAAATATAAATGTTGTGAAAATTTCTTAACAGATGACAATGTAAATAAATAAAGTTTTTTTTGATCAGATTATCACGCATTTGACAACATTTGACATGTTAATAGGAACAAATAATAAATAAGGGATTGATTATTATTATTATTATTATTATTTTTTTTTTTTTTTTTTTAAAATAAAAAAAAAAACTATACAACGAAATGAACTGAAACAATAAAAAAAAAAAAATAATAAAAATAAAAATAAAAATAAAATACACAGAAAAAAAGTAAATTTTTTGATTCATATATATTACATATTTTTGATCTTAAGTTATAATTTAATTATTAATTTACAATTTTTTTTTGTAATAAATAAAGTGTGGAAAATTTTGGAGACAAAGTATACAATTAATTGATTTTATCAATTCGTAGTTATACTTTTTATTATATTCAGATTTATGCGAAAAAAGATCTATGTTAAACGTGAAAGAAATTGTAATAAAGTACGTGCGTGTATTTTAATAAAAGGACAAATGAAAATACATTGGTACTTTTTCGAAGTTTATTGGGTTATGCAAGAAAGAAAAAACGAATTTCATTTGTGAAAAATGCACGGCATTGCACGTGAAAACGATAATATTTTTTTTTTTTTTTTTTTTTTTTAAAAAAAAAAGAAAAAAAAAATACGATTCTATAAAAAAAGTTGTTGTTTGATCGATTTCTCTAAATTCTATTCTAAACAACAATGAATTAAATTAGTATGATGTCACGAGATAAATAAATGTGCAGCGCATGAGGCAGTTACTTACAAACTTGAAAAATTAGTTTTATCAGGTAAAGGAAAAAATTCATGAACGCGTTAAAAAATAAAACACCCGTAGAATCATTGAATTTCGAAAGTGCTCGTCTATGTATAAAAATTCCAAGGGCACAATTCTTGATTTTTTTTTTTTCTTTCCGGTTTCAAAGAAAAAATTTGTCAACACATTTTTTTTTTTTTTTAAATATCAAACTTAAAAAAAAAAACCGTGTTAAAAAAGTGAGCACTTTGCGTTAAAGAACCTCTATAATTATTGTATCAAAGAGTTCGTGAATGTTTATAATTTCATTTTCGGAAAAAAAGTAAAATGAGGATTTTAATCCTGAGAAATTTTTACATGGAGGCCATTCTCACAAATATTTATATTCAATTCTGAAACTTTTTTTTTTTTTACTTGTGGGAAAATTCCTTCCAAGAGTTGTTTTTCCTGTAATACGATTTGGATCACAAGATGAAGCGAATATAATTTAAGACAAGTACGTTAAAATTACGATTCCATATCTGTTGGTTGGATAATGTTTGCAAAGAAAACCAATTGTTAGATGTGATTAAAGTTTATGTGGGGAACTGCAACTTAGCAAGTGTGCATTTCTCAACCCCACAAACATTAACCCCACATCAAAAAAAAAAAACTCCCCCGTCAAAATTTGTGCACCTTACTGGAAAGGGAAGAAGGCTTTGACCATCTATTTACAAAAGATTTCAAATACGTCATTAGAACTTCTTGTTCCAGCTAAAGTCAATCTATGATATGGCGTTCATGGAGATTGGAGATTCATCTTGTATGATAGTTTTCTTGCGAGATGCGGATTCGTTATAAACATTACATACATTCAATTTCTTGATTTGATTCAAGAAAAAAAAAAAAAAAAACTCCTCTTAAAAATTTTCTGATAAAGTTTTGGCGTAATTTATTATTTGCATTAAAATTAGTTAATGTATTTATAACGAATAATTATTACTACGGAATAAACTTTAGAATGCCGAATAATGAATGAAATTTCACACATTGTTCTCTCCCTTCAACAGCCAATAAAAGCAGATCTTGTAAATTATTTTGATTTTGACCAAAAACTTTCCATCAATATTTTAAAAAAAAAAAACTTACTAGTGATTGCCTATTTTGGTCAATAAATTATTTTGACAGATCCATTTTGTTTATTAAGTTTCCTCCTTCAATAAATTGTGATCGGTATTACAATTTACGATCTTCCGTCGACCCGAACTAACCGTTTCTTATTTTCTTGCGACGTGTATTCTCAACGACGAATCAAATTTTTTTTATCGAAACCTGCACATTTATTTATTTCACGACAGCTCGGCTTTTGATCATTTGACATCAATTATAAATGTGATAAATTTGAGGTGACTTATCACATATATTTAAGGGTGAATGGATGATTTCGACTAACTTCTTTAGTGTATATTAAAAGAATTCCTTCGAAGAACGATGTGGCATTAGATTTTTTTTTCTACTTCAATTGTTTCACAATGTGCAATTATCATCTCATTACATCAACATGATTATTTGAATGCCTTTTTTTAATTTTTCAAATAAAAAAAAAAAAAAGAATGTAAAAGCACGTTTATTAGATTCTAAGGAATCTGAAACCCATGACACTCAAATGATATCGGATTTGGCTGTCAACAAAACACGGGCCAGTCCTCCTGCAATATACACCACAACCTGCATGAATACCGTCTTACATTTCTAGATAAACAAACAAATATATTATTAAAATTAAAAGGTTTTGTTTATTTTTTTGTAAAATCACATATCATTTATCATCAAGTTATGAAAAATTGCTTATAAATTGATGATGTTTTGCTCGCTTTTTTGCTCTTTAGATTCTTTATAGAATCTCAAAATTCAAAGAAAAAAATAATTTATTATGATTATTCATTTCGCAAAATAATCGAATTTTAAATGTCACCGGTTTCATAACCTCGAGTAACATCGTTAAAAAATGATTTCCTCTGGAAGGAATTCAAATCGTTTCTTTCGCCATTAAATTTCGAAAAAAAAAAAAAAAATCATTCGCGTTTATTTCTGATACTCGTTATTCCGTGAAATATTTATTTTTATTCGTAAATTTTATATTAGTTATTTTTACCATTCAGCCATTCTTATCGGTATTGTTCAAATTAATGATCGGTTTCTAATGTTCTTACGTGTTCAGTTCTTCTTTTCTTAAATCTTATAAAAATGATAATTTTTTTCCAGAATTTATTTATTCTTTGAATTTGTTTATTTTTTATTTCTTTTTACTTTATTTTTTATTTATAGAAACAAAGTGTGCTTCTTTTTATATCATCATTATTATTTATTTTTCTTATTTTTTTCTTTTTCTTTTTTCTATTTCTTTTTTTTTTTTTTATTTCTTTTTTATAAAATACTCTGCTACAATAAAAATGAATTTAACCATTCGATAATGGATTATTATGTAATTTTTTTTTTTCTTCATTTTAAAGTAAATAAAATAAAAAAAATTATTTTGTGTTAAATCTACGTGATTGTTCACATCTTTACGAGAAACGGTTTAATTGATAAACACAATCATTGTTTTGCTGATAAACTTTTGATAAGAAACATTATTTTACTCTTTTGGAAACATCAAACTTTAATTATGAACAATAGTATGTTGACATGTCACAAAGATTTTGCGAAACTTTAATTTTCAAACGTCTCTATTAATCAAGTTATCAGGAAAAAAAAAAAGTTCTCGACTTGATTATCTTTCTTATCTTTTTGGATATTTAAACGAGAAAATTTTCTTCCTCTTTTTTTTTTTTTTTTTTTTCCCGCATAGAATTCGAAATCATGTAACCTTTTTTTTTTCCTAATGATGAATACTCAATAACGTGTATTTAGGATCGTAATGCCTCATAATGCTTTTTAAATTCATTTTATAACAACCTCACTTTAAAAAAAAAATAGAAGAAAAGAAAAAAAAAATGTTAAAAGAAAACAAAACCAAAAAAAAAAAAAAAAAAAAAAAATAAAAAAAAAATTCCAAATTATCACAATATCCCTCTTACCAATTAACTTTCTACACTTTCTACAAAATTTCCGAATACATCTTTTCAACAATCACCGCCAAAACAAAAGTTCATTGACGACAAAACGCGCTTCTCCGACCTACCAAAGTTCTTGACTAATTTTAATCATCGTATTTTGTCCCTTTCGAAAAATCTCTTGCTTTAATTCCAACCGAATTCGTATTTTTTTTTCTGTATTAATTGTATTAATACATTTTTTCATTCATATCGAGCATTGACTTATCATGCTTCGATATATAATTACTTTATAAATTATTAGTTATTTGAAATTTCTAAATACATTTTGTTATTCCTTTTAAATTGATTTGTTTTTTCACTTTTTATCGATCGTTTTCCTCTTTTTTTATCGTATTTATTATAACTTTTTTTTTCATATCAAATAAAGACTTTCATTACGTGATTCAACGTGTTTTTATTTTATTAAACTAACAGTAACCGACTTTATTGTTTATTTAAGTCCATCGACGTGATAGTTAAGACACGTGATATTTGCGAAATCGCGATCAGGGTGTTGTAATCACTTTGCATTCTTTGAATAAAAGAACCTCAATAACACGTTTCGTAAATATTATTTTTTTTTTCATGCATGAAAAAAAAAATTAAAGAAATTTGAACATCTTGACATATCGCTTTTATTTTATTTTTGAATTCCCTTATTCTGAGGAAATTGTCACCGTTCATGTGATCAGAATTTGTCTATACAATATAAATAAAATTTTAATCTTTATGACAGTACAAAGTATTATTTAGTTACACCAAAGGATTTCTTTAAGTTAATTTCTTCACGGAGTTGTTCACTTTTCTCCATTTGATTAGATAAAAGACATAATTCAGTGGTGAAACCGTTTGATTTACATAATAAAAAAAAAAAAAACGCGTCTTATATATAGAATCATGCAATATTGTCATAATAATTATGACAAAAATGAATGGGCTGAAACGCTCGTACATTCAAAAATCCATTTGCAAAGTTTCCCGGGAGTTAGAGTCAAGACAACCCTTTTTTTCTTTTTTTAAGTAAAATGCACTTAAATTTCTAATCGGTAACATTTAAGCATATTATCAATACCGATATGAAACTGTTGTATTTCCAAATCGGGTAAGATCTTGGGAATTTTTTTCGTTCATTGTACCTTACATAAACTTTAATTTGGCCAAATTTAAAAAATATCCATTTATCCATACAAGGATCCAATATTACACAATCACAATTGGTCTGATAATGATTTGTACTTTGTAATTCATGTTGACGAGCATCACGTGTCATGGATAGTGGTTCGACCTATTGTAATTTATACGCAACTTTACATATTATAAATCTTTTTTTTGATACAAGTGACGCAATATATTTTATAAAATAAAAACACCAAATTGAATTGTCGGTAAAAACATTAATCTTTTTGCAAAGGATTTCTCACAAATACATAAAGATGCTGAAAAATTCTTTGATAAGATCGTCACTTATCATACACAAACCCCATTTCATTCAACCATTGATCGTACAACCTTGCCGTAAATCGTCGCCATTTTCAATTCGTCCAGCTCATTCTCGTACGTTTTCAATTTTTAATTTACTTAGGACAATAGTTGGCCCACTATCTTTTGTCTCTCGTTCCCTTTCACAACCACAAAAGGCAACGCAAGAATTGGAATCTCAAGCATTAGCCACTTATGAAAAAATCAAATTACCAATAACTCATACATTTAATAGAATTCCTGGATTTTTGGGTAGAGAGCATGAGATACGTATATTGAATGATTTATTAAGTGGAGATCCAAAGTTTTTGATCGTGAATGGTTCTACAAGGTTGGTGAACGCGGAAAAAAAAACACTACTTTGAATATTTAATCAATTTTTGGGATCAAATTTTTTTTTTTTTTTGTTCATATTTACTGTAAGTGTGGGAAAAACCTCTCTGCTACGAGAGGTCCTATCCGACGATCGATATCATGTGACTTACATCGATTTGCGAATCCCAGGTCTCGTAATTTTTTCTTTTTTTTTAAAAAAAAATAACATGTGAATGCCTTCTTGACTTATCATTTAAATACATACAGGATTCGCGGATCTTATTTCATTTATATCGGAATTCGCGTCACGTTTAGAAATATTTTTTACGAGAATTGCTTCATTTTACCCTAATCTTAAGGTATTTGAAGATGAAGCAATCGCCCTTAGAAGTTTACGATTGAGTGGACCTGAAAGTTATGAAAAGAAACAACTATTACAAAATGTGCAACAATCAGAAGGTGATGATGAGACGGATGCTTATTCTGTCGCAAAAAGTCAGAATCGAAGTGATCTCGCCAAATTATTGGAGAAATTTCAAGCTGGGTTATTGATGTATCATGGAGTTGATCTCAATGAAAAGGGGGAAGAAAAGAAAGAGGATGATGAAAAAGACAGATACCGGATACACGAACATGATAAGGGTTGTTAATTATTCCAACCTTCAAAATAATATTTATAATTACAACTTATTCTTATGTTTTTTTATAGACACGAGAAAAAAGAAAATTCCTATCATAGTTTTCGATGAAGCTCATAAATTGAGATATCTTTTGAATGATAACGAAGCTCTACAGATACTTCTGGATGCATTGGTAGTCTTCACAGTACAAGATAGCTTGTGCCACATCATTCACGTTACTTCGGATGCATTTTACGGAAGATTATTGGCACAAAGTACGTGAAGCAAAAAAAAAAAAAGATTATTTTTTTTTTCCCATATCTTTATTCTAACATTCCTTTCTTACTTTTAAAAAAATAAAATAAAAAGTGAATATTCGTAAGTATTAATTATCATGACGAATCAAAATATTTTTTTTGCTAGCTTAACAAGTTTTCATATTTGATTATTTAGAGCTTCATACGAAATCTTTAATCATTGGTGATTTATCCCGATCAGAAGTCAACAAGTATTTTCACAAGACTCTAGTACCGACCGTCCCACAAGAAATACGCGAAGGGATTTTCAAAATGGAAGATGATCTTCACAAAGTTCTTGGTGGAAGAATTTTATACTGGAAATCATTTGTACAAGATTACATTCTTTCGAATGGCAGGTTAACAAGTTAAGATTCACTCAAGGTTTCTTAATCATCTTTGGTAATATAAATAAAAAAAAAAAGTGATTAATTATTATTCTTTTACAAAAAAAGTTGAAACATTTGAACCATTCATTCGGGCGCAGCATCAACTTATTTTACTTTCAAAAGATTTACCGATGGATGATGAAATTCCCGGTGATCCGATCAAACGCATAAGTCGTTATATTATTGCCAGTCCAATGAATAAGGTTTCCTATCATCGTTTGTGTAAGGAATTCACGCCACCTGTTATAGATGAGTTAATTAACGATGGAATTTTGGAGTATAGATTGATTGATGAAATTGATGATGGGAATGATGATGCATTATCGATCGAAAAACCTTTTGTTGTTCCTTCAAGTCATCTAATAAAACATGCTATGGAAATTTTATTAGGAGAGAAATCACAGATCGAAAAAGATGTTTAAAAATTATTTACGTACAAGCTTTATTGTAAAATTATCTTACATAAATTTTTTTTTTTTTTTTTAAAAACGACTGAATGTTACTCTTGTTTATACATATTTGAAATGCGTCATGAATATTATATGTCTTGAAACGTTATTGAAAAAAAAAAAGAGAGAATTAAAATCCTAAACATTTTAAACATAATTAATAATCTATCCGATGGTATTCGTTTTAACAACGTTTTCCAGCAATTAAATAAAAATGACAAAAAAGTTTTGAAACTAAAATTTTATCTAACAAGCAAGCTAAGGCTTAACACCATTAAGCAAAACCAAAGAGAAAATTTCATCAAATTCCTGTTTATTTCGTCGTTCATCGGTTTATTTCCACATCTCTTTACGAACCAATCAAATCTTCTCCCGATACATTTCCATTCTTTTCGTTCAATCATTCCTTCCAAACGACCACATTGACTAATCAGACGGATGATTGATGATTCAGCTGCGGCTATCATAAAACGATAACCACGAACCGTAGGTACCCCGCAGGGATTTATAAACGTCAAATAGATGTCAACGATCATTATGGAAACGATGACAAGTGGAATAGATAAGAATGTCCAAATTACAAAGATATTAATGATTGCTGTGTCATTAAATACAGCGACAATTAATGAAATTATTATCGTGATGAAAAAGATTAATATTGTCCCCAACAATAACTCTGCACTGTTAGGTAAAATATCGTTATAACTTAATTCCGGATACATTTTAACTAAGGCACCATCGCCTTTCGCCCACATAAAAAATCTTTTATAGACCCTCTTCCCATCATTCCACCAAGGATGCGTCACTTTAACATTTGGCGCTGCTATAAATCCTATCCCATTCGCTACATTATTAATAAAAAAATTCCTCTTTTTCAAACAGAAATCGATATCCTCTCCTCCACCGGTCGGGGGAAAAATTGGATCAAAGAGTACGTTATCTTTAAATCGTTTAATTAGTAAATTTGCGGTTACGCCCCAAGGGATGTCATCTTTAAATTTTTCCGCAATATCCCAAAAATACGTGATACAGGACAAAACCAACGCACTTACAAAAATGTTATCATTCGCTGGAGGGAATTTCGTATTTCCTACGAAGCCGCAAGCGTTTGGATACATTTTGATTATTTTTTCACATTCAAATAGTATGTTCTTTTCCGGAATCACGTCATCATCCAATAACAATACATAGTCCGCGTTGGATTCTTTTAGCCCTCGATTTCTTGATAAACTCGCACCCAAATTGGTTTTGTGCTCTCGAATTCTGATAAAAGGATCTTTCTCATATAATTTTTTTAAAATGGTTGTGTTTGGTGTATTTGGATTATCAATTATAATCACAATGCTTGTTGACATCGTTGGGGGTCTCTCCACGTTAATGATTGGATCAAGAAATTTCAATTCAACCCTATAACTTGGTATTACGATATCAAGTGTTAACAATTTTGGTACCGGAACCTTGCAATTCGATTTCAACCACTTTTCAACTGTATCAACAGATTTATCTAAAATATCAAAACTCCACTCCGGATAATGCTTTCTTTCATATCTTGGGGCTTGACTTCCGCCCACGAAATTTTGAATTTTAACATCATGTAACATAACCGAACATCCCCATCTTCGATATGTCTGAAACAAGTACGGGTCTCCATCTTGATTTTGAAATTTTTCCCTCGGAAATATGTTACCATTAAAGATGTCCAAATGTACTCGACCCATCACCGGAAACGTTGGAAACCCGGGAAAACTGGTATCGTCAAAGGTTACACATCCGAAACCGCATGGAACCTTTTTTTGAGTAGAAATTTCGCGATAAGCTTTATGAAATTTACTCATCCAGCCATCGGTTTCGATGATCACGTCATCGCCAAATAAAACAAAATAATCGCATTTGTCGTGATACGCTTGACGAGCCAATTCCCTCCAGATTGCGCATATAGAACCCGGAGGAAAATCAAATGACTTTGTATGTATATCCGTGAATCCATGTTCGCGAAGGATTCCTTCCGCAGGATTATTTTGGATCGGATGAAAGAGGCAATCATTCTTATCTATTCCGATGTAAATTTTAATATGGTAAATTGTTTTACAAATTCTTTCCGTAACATCTCGTTGCGAAGTCTTGTGAAGACTTTTTGCAAAGTTTGATAAATTCTCTAAGCAATCTACAGGGTTAATTAATCCTCGAGAAGTTATCGGTACAAGCACTCCAAACGTTATGGTTTCGTCTTGAAAAGTTAATACGTTCACTTGACTTTTTAATGATGACTTGATTAAATCATTCCATCCGATTGGATCATTCTCATATTGCAATTTCATTTTCTCAATTTCTTGTCGAATCCACAAGGAGGTCTTTTTCATACCTTCACGGATCGAATGTCTTGGTGACCAATTTAGGTACTTCCGAATTAAGGTGTTATCCGAATTCCTACTATTTACACCAACGGGTTTTTCGGTGTCAAGCCTCAACCTCACGGTATCACATGCCACGCCAATGGTTTCAAACGCGACATAAGCAAGTTCTTCTATGCTAATTGATTCTTCCGAACCAATATTTAGTGTGATTTCTAAATCACTTTCCATGAGTTTAATGACAGCTTCGACGCAATCATCTATATACAAGAAACTTCGTCTTTGTTTTCCGTTACCCCAAATTTCAATCTCATTTCCTCGTGCATAAATACTCGAGAAAATCGCTTTTCTTAATAAGGCGGCCGGAGCTTTTTCCCTGCCGCCATACCATGCACCACCTTCTCCGTAAATGTTATGAAACCTTGCAATTTTGAATTGAGGAAATTTTTTATTTTCCATTGGATCTACTAAACTGGATATAAGTATTTCGGTGTTTAATTTTTCGGCACCATAAAGTTCTTGAGCTTTTGAATCTTTGGAAATGCAATTCCATGTATCGCTTTCCTTTAATTTTATCTCATAATTAATATCTGATTGTTTTTTATTGGAGTAAACGCAAGCGGTGGAAGCATAAAAGAACTTTTCAATATCTGACTCCATCGAAACTTTGAGTATATTCAAGGACATCAAATGATTTTCTTGATATATTACGAAATTATTTTTGGAGTGAATAATGCCCATACCTCCCATATTCGCAGCAAAATGAAATACCCATTTTACATCGTTCTTAATAAATAATTTACGGCAAGTTATAAGTGAACGGATGTCACCTTCGATGAATTCTGAACAGAATTCAGCCGTATCTTTGAAAAGACGAAAGGTTGGGTCGTCATGCAAATCGACTACGCGAATGTAGTTTCCTTTGTCGTGTAAATATTTTGCAACATGACTTCCCTAAAGATGACATTTATATAATTATTTATTATTTAATTGAATTTTTTTTTAGAAAAAAAAGAAGGGTACATACAATGAAGCCATTGCCTCCCGTAATTAAAATAACATTTCTTCTTATAGTCATGTTTATTTTTACTTTTCAATGAGTTTTTCTTCTCGAATCAGCAGCCTTTTTATTCCTTTTTATTTCTTTTGATTTTTATCAACGCGTTACATATTGATGACGATTTTTTATTTCACAGGTGAAATTTTATAAATATGACCACATTATCTCACGATAAGAACGATTATATAACGGTGATTAAACTTATGTAACTTTCGATCTCAATCATCCCCCTAAGGTGAATTTAATAATTCAATTTATAATACAATTTCAATCACGCGTCGTCACTTTCGTCGTTCACTAGTCATTAATGATCATGATTTTCAGCCTCCGTCTTTGTTTCACATTTAGGCAGTTCCCACGCACCTAAAAAAAATAATAGATCATTGGAATCAAAAAGAACCTGGAACTTCACAGAATTTCGCTGATTGGTTAAACTTTACCATTTAATAAGCAACCAAAAAGCTTACACAAGCGGGTACTTCCTTATTTCCATTTACACCATGGGTTTTCAGCAATACTATCATCAGCTAGTTATTATATACCGGTAATACAAATTCTTGTAACAGAATGTTCAAATGCAAAGAATATTCAATATTTATAACCTTTAAACCTTTGATTATCCAAATTATTTTTTTCTCTTCATCAAATGCAAGAATACAACATCGGCCAAGACCTAAACTTGGACAGATGTTTTCCCATTTTTTAGTAGATGGAGATAGTCATAACTCAAACTCTTTCGCATTACGCTTGCCACTTTTCGCGCTATCGTGGATTGATTAGCTATCCAGCTTTTATTTTAGATTCCTCTAATGCAATATGGAAACAAACTGCCATTGCATTATGCCAACTAGCAAATGGAGCATACGAGTATTAGAGCAAACACATGGGCTGAGTCAAGGGTCTTTAGTCAATTTTACTGGAAGCGTTAATGGAGAAAGGAAGGGTACGAGCTAGAGCTGTAGTCATGATAAAATCGTAACCATCTTAATTTACAAGTTATACGATAATAACATTTTAATTGATAAAAATTACCTGATTTATGATCGGTAAAAAAAAAATTTTTTTGTGATGGAAAAGCGTTCACGTATTTATGAAATTAATTTTGTAAGAGCGTCTCCGGAAAAACCCTGACCTTAACCCTAACCCTTGAATTTTTCACGTGACACATGTCACTTTCATTTTTTTTGTTTTGATAATCATGCAGAGCGCAATATATATATATTTTTTTTAATGCTAAAAGAACTAAAAGATTAAGTAATATCCTCTTTTTTTTTTTTGATTTGTTAAAAGACCAAAAATAAATTTTAAATTCTTAAGGTTGCCGGGAAAAACCCGGAGGTTTCGACAGGCATCAAAATCAAATTCGTCGAAACCCGTCGAAACCCATCGAAACCGAAAGGTTTCAACTTTTCCAAAATGGGATACGGTTTTGCCCCGCAACCTTAAATGTTTAGCGATTTGCTTTTTGTCCAAGTGGGTGTCTCGAGAATATAACAAATTGGTTTACAGATTAAATAATTCATGGATATTCCAAAATTACCGTTAACATTCCTTCTGCTATCAATATATCTTTCTTAATGATCATTATAAATCGATTGATAATTTCGCTTAATTTCGCTGAATTTCGGCTCTGACCACAAAACTGGTCAAAAGTTTTACGGATAATCGTAACTCCAGCCAAAATTAAGAATTTACATTTAATCAATGAGACAATTATGTCATCAAATAGTTCAGTTATTTCGTTTTCTATTACAATTATGTGAAACATCTTCACTAGACTAAATTTGTGCTTTACTACTGTTTCATATTTTTTATTAGCGGCCATTATCATATAATATTTACCTAATTCTTCATTACCTTGCATCCTAACATTTACTAATTTCCCAAAGAAGAATTCCAAAACTGTAAACATCACATTTGGTATCATAATTTTGTTTCATGTAATTTTCCAATCCCTCTCCTATCATTTGACTTCGTATCATCTCGGGAGATCTATATTTATCTATGGCTAAATTTCTAGAAACTGCCAAAATTTGTTGTAATTATAATATTTTCGGATCTAATATCTCGATGAACGATCTACAAGATAATTAAAAAGTCGGCTATGCAATTTTTTTTTTTTTTTTTAAAGAAACCTAGAATTTTTGTTATTACCTTATCAGAAATAAGGAAATTCAATCCTTTAGCGATATCATAAGCAAATAGTATTCTCAATTTATTTCAATTCCTTGTCCATTCAATGAAATATACTCACGCAAATTACCATATTCTGCCCATTCGGTTACTAAATAATATTATAAGTTAGTTCGTAGAATTGAATAATATTTTGACAATCTTTTAGTTTTTAAGAATTGCGACTTGATTTTTAACTGAAAGAAAATTTTCTTTTTCTACAATCTTAAAAGCAAAATAAACTCTAGTTTTTATTGATTTGATTTGCACTTTTTTTTGTCGTTAATCAAACTATCCATGATAAGTTGCACCTCATTGACTAGTTCTATAACTGAATTCATCTTAATTGTGTCTTTCATACTTTCTAAAATCGACCGTCGAGTTAAAATCTTTAAGAAATAGATACTTTCATCATATTCTTCACATAGAAATTTAAAACTTTTTTTCTATCAAGGTAGCCCTTAATTATTATACTGTGCTATTTCTTCAATATATCCTTTCATTTTTTGAAGTACTTGAACTAATTTCTGTAAACTAGAATAAATTTTCGAAGTAGATAATCCTCTCTTGTTTCAAACATACTTACTGAGTAATTCAAGTTTCGTTATTATTTTCATTATATTTATTGAGCGATCTCTAATAAGTGAAATGATGATCCTAGTTTCATTTTGTCGTGACTTTTCTAAAATCACGTGATTATATACGTATTTAAAAATCATTTCTAAAATACAAGATCAGCAATACGATCTTTTTTTTTTTTTTTTTTCTCATTTCAATTTTAATATGGAACGTTGTGATGAATGTAATCAACCACTTGGAGGAAATTGGTGCAATAATTGTGATGCATACAAATTTTTAGAAGAAAGTAAAACTATTGGTTATCGTAAGGAACTTCATAAATTAAATAAAAATGAGAAATTCCAATTTAGGCGGTACGGTATATGTCCGAATTGTAAACAATTGAAGGTCGACTATGAATTATGTCATGATTGTGATAAAAGTTATAGGGAATGTAATAAATGCAACCGACCATATATTACTTCCGGAGAGGAATGGTGCAATTATTGCGATACTAAAAGATTTTTGGAAGAAAGTGAAACTCTCGGATACCATAAGAAATTAGATCAATTATCCAAGGAAGAGAAAATTCGGTTTAGATTATATGGAATATGTCACGATTGTGTACAATTAAGAATTGACTCCAGATCATGTATTAACTGTAGACGTAAGAGATGTGAAGAATGCGATACCACCAAAAACGAAACGTGGTGTGATAATTGTGATGGTAAAAGGTTTTTGGAAGAAAGTGAAACTCTCGGATATCAAAAGAAATTAGATCAATTATCCAAGGATGAGAAAATTCAATTTAAGCGATATGGAATATGTACCAATTGTAAACAACTAAAAATTGACCCCAGATCATGTGCTAACTGCATGTACGGCAGTTGTAATGAATGCAAACAACCAAATATTTCCGAAGAGAAGTGGTGTAATGATTGTGATGTTAAAAGTTTTCTAAAAGAAAGTGAAATTGTTGGATATGGTAAGGAACACAATGATTTATCTAGAGCAGAAAAATTTCTATTTAGACAATATGGGATATGTCATGAATGTAAGCAACTAAATACTGACTATGGATCATGTATTGACTGTAATAAAAGTTATAGTAAATGTCCAGAATGTAAACGACCGTATTTTTCTGAGGAATGGTGCAATTTTTGTGACAATAAAAGATTCTTGGAAGAAAGTAAAATCATTGGGTGTTATAAGAATTTAAATGACTTGACTAAGGATGAGAAAGTTCATTTTAAAGAATATGGAATATGTCCCGATTGTAAGGAAATGAATACCGGAGGAGCGTGGTGTAACAAATGTGATCCTGGACGATTTTTAAGTGAAGGAAAAACTAGTGGAAATCAAGAGATCGATCAAATAATCTACGATGCACAAAAGAAAACAGAGCATTATTATAATAGTTTTGAGTGGATTCCTTTGGATAAACTTGAATCTATTCAACATATCGGAAGAGGAGGTTTCGCAACGATTTATTCTGCCAATTGGATAGAAGGAAAACCTTATGGTTTTAGAGAGAAGAAAAGGTCCCCTCCTATTAAGGTTGCACTTAAAGAAATAAACCTTGATTCCAAGATGACGAGTGTTGCTCTCACCAATGAGGTATACCATTTTGAAAATATTTGTACCATGTCATATTTTTAAGTCATGATTTATTAAACGTTTACGATTTTATTGTTAGATAAATATACATAATCTCTGTCAAAATTCTCCTCTTGGTACTATCATAAGATTTTATGGAATTTCAAAGAATTCAAATACAGGAAACTTTATCATGGTATTAGAATTTGCTGAAAATGGAAGTTTGAGAGAATCTCTTGATAGATCTTTCCAAGGATTAACTTGGAAGAAGAAATTAGAAATGATGAAGACCATCACGGATCATCTTGGGATTCTTCATAATTTAGACCTTATACATCGAGATTTACATCATGGAAACATACTTCAACTTTCAAGTGGTAAATTAAGTATTTGTGATTTAGGACTTTCCCAATCAATATATGAAACTGGTAAATATGGGATATATGGTGTATTACCTTACATGGCACCTGAAATTTTACGAGGACAACGTTATACCAAAGCTTCTGATATTTATGGATTTGGAATCATATCATACGAAATAATTACAGGTTTACCACCTTATCATGACATTGATCATAATTACTTGGCTTTACCTATTTGTGGTGGATTAAGACCCAAATTTAATATTAAAGTACCCCAATCTATTTCTGGTTTAATCAACAGATGTTTGGATGCAAATCCATCAGAACGACCAACAGCAAATGAATTATCTAATCAATTGTCTAACCTTATAAATGATGCTTCTAATGAAGGGTCAATGATTCATAAGCAAATTGAGGAAGCAAATAAGATTAATGAACTTTCAACAACGCCATCACCAGTATCGATCACGAGCCTTACTTATGTAACGCATCCTCGAGCAATTTATACAAGTAGGCTCTTGAATGTTAAAAATTTGCCAGAACCAAAAAATTCATCCGAAATAAATGAAACATTCTATTCTGGAAAGATTAAGTGAAAATTTTTAAATTTTTATTATTAATAATAATCAATTATTTTTAAATTACAATAGAATCTTAGTTGATGATTTTACCAAACTTTTTATGAATTAACAATCCGTTCTATGAATAATTTAATGTAATTTTAATTTGTATTTTTAGTCTATTAAATTTTAATATATTTAACCTAAATATTTTTTAACTTTATTGGAATAGAAAGTTTGTTAAACAATTTAAATTATTGCAACTTACGCATGAATGACGTTTAATGATATTTTCACATTGTTTTCCATAGGTTTATTAATTATTTAAATTGCTCACCTTTTTTTTTAAAAAAAAAAAAAATAAAAATATAAGAAAAAGACGGATTAAATTATTACTTTCTAAAAAAATATTTGCTACTGTCCTTTAAAGAATTATGTAAATGCATCGTATATCTATTTTGCACCATGGTCAAACAAACGATTTCTAACTAGCGTAAACACCACCATCATTTGTAAACCGTTAAATCTTTGATTTGCGGGTCGTCTTTTCCTGGTCAAATGTCTTGAGAGAAATCTCGTGTTTCCGATAAATATTTAAAGCATTTATCTGTAGAAACCTCTTATTGTAACACGCTTTTCTTCGTCAGGAAATAGTTTCTTAAGTTATTCATTAATAGAGTATATTTGAAAAGAAGTAAAAGAATGATAAATTGTAAAGTAAAAAAAAGAGGTCTCATCGATTAAACTTTTTTTTTTCCTGATTTTAGCGTAGTTTCATCTCATATTTTACGTTATCGTCCGATTATTCCAACTACCGAATTTTCGGATTTTTCGGATTTTTCAACTGAGCTTTTTTTCTTTTTAATTTAAAATTCCTTAACATTATGCTTTGTGTCCTTTATTAGTCAATAATGTGGAAACTATAAATAAAATTTGGGCGTTCTTGTTATGAAACTGAAAGTATTGTTAAGACTTTGTTCTTTATATACCAACAATAAATATTGTTCAGTCAGTCGATCCGGAGAAAATTTTTTACGAGACAGTAATTGCAAAATAAAATCCAGTAAACCGAAAAATCTAATTTTCGATCATCTAAAAAATTCATGAAACCGTAAGACCTTGTGATGTTTCAATACAGAAAAGAAAAAACAAGGGATTGTAACGTGTTTGTTGTTTCCAAGCTCACGGGTATAAAAATGAATCGATTCCGTAGCATGAAATTTCCAAGAAAAAATTATCTGTGATAAAATTTTCTTCACCTCACTATTTATTACCTTTACCTTTAAATATATATGTTGAGCATATAATATTATTTATTTATATTTATTTATATTAATTAATCATCTTTAAAATTTTTTAAAAAAAAAAATTTTTTGTTTACTTAAGAACTTAAGATTATAAAAAAAAAAAAAAAAAAAAAAAACCCCTTTCAACAAATTCTTTGATTAATCATGCTGTTCAAAAAAAATTTACAAGTTGAATCCACGTCTTCCGAGAATGCTTTGAAAGTTAAATGTGAAGAATTTTTCTCAACTGACGACGACATTTTACAAGTTAAATGTGAAGATTTTATCACAACAGAAGACACTTTTCAAGTTAATTATGAAGAATTCATGTCAACCGAATACGCTACACAAGACGAAAGTGAAGAAATTACGACAACCCAAGATACTTTACAAGTTAAAACAAATGAACCTGTTATCAAACGTAAAAAATCCGGTTTAAAATACATTCCCGCAGTTGACTTGCACATGTATAAATTTAAATCCGCAAAAGACCTCGTCATAAATACAATCAAGAACTCTTATTCCGCCGAAGTATCGAGTATAAGATTCATAACAGGACGAGGAAATCATGTAAATTCAAATGGTGAACGAGGAGTTCTTTTTCAAAGCTTTCCAACCATGATATCATCCGGAGGAGTCAGTCGTTTAATCAAAAGTTATATCAAACATGATGGCTCATTTACGGTCCTACTTAAATCACCCAATGAATTAACGTCACATGATTTAGATACGATTAAACAAGCCGCTTCAAATGATGATGTCGAGGCTCAATTCACCCTCGGATTAATGTACATTGATGGTAGCGTTAAGAGAGATGTTCAAGAAGCCTTAAGATGGTTGAAAAAATCAGCAAATAAAGGTGATATCAAATCCCAATTATTAATCGGACAAATTTATTTCGATGGAACCCGAGTTGATAAAAATATCAATGAAGAACAAGCGTTTAAATGGTTTAGTAAAGCAGCCAATCAAGGTGATTTTCATGCACAATTGATAGTTGGATATTTATTACACGAAGGGAGAGGCGTCACTAAAAATGAAGAGGAAGCTTTTAAATTGTTTGAGAAAGCTGCCGAAAAGAGTGGTATTAATGCTCAATTAAGCGTTGGAAGCTTATTATATGAAGGAAAAGGTATCGCTAAAAATGATGAAGAAGCTTTTAAATGGTTTAAGAAAGCAGCTAAACAAAATGTTATTGAGGCCCAATTCATTCTCGGATCAATGTATTTAGATGGTGAAGGAGTTGAAAAAGATGTTCGAAAAGCTTTAACTTGGTTAACAAAATCAGCTGAAAAGGGATATATTAAATCCCAGTTACTTGTGGGACAAATATATTCTGATGAGGTTGTCAAGTACAAGAAAAAGGATCAAAAAGCTTTTAAATGGCTTAGTAAAGCGGCCAAACAAGGGGATGTTACTGCTCAATTAATGGTTGGTCATTTATTATATCAAGGAAAAGGTGTCAATAAAGATTATGAAGAATCATTTAAATGGTTTGAAAAGGCCGCCGAACAAGGTGACGTTAACGCTCAATTAAGTGTTGGACGATTATTATGCGATGGGAAAGGTGTCACCAAAAACGCTGAAGAAGCTTTTAAATGGATTAGTAAAGCGACTGAACAAGATGATATTGAGGCTCAATTCATTCTCGGATCAATGTATTTATATGGCGAAGGAGTCGAAAAAGATGTTCAAAAGGCTTTAAATTGGTTAACAAAATCAGCAGAAAAGGGATATATCAAATCCCAATTACTTGTTGGACGAATATATTCTGAAGGTGAAATTAACACCAAACAAAAGGATAAAAAAGCTTTTAAATGGTTTAGTAAGGCAGCCGAACAAGGAGACGTTAATGCTCAATTAATGATTGGTCATTTATTATATGAAGGGAAAGGTGTTGTTAAAAATGATGAAGAGGCTTTCAAATGGTTTGAAAAAGCGGCCAAACAAGGTGACGTTAACGCTCAATTGTGCGTCGGACGATTATTATATGAAGGAAATGGTGGTATTATGAAAAATGAAAGTAAAGCGTTTAAATGGTTTAAAAAAGCTGCGGAACACGATCACGTTGATGCTCAATTAATCGTTGGAAATTTATTGTATGAAGGAAAAGTGGTTGCTAAAAATCATAAAGAATCCTTTATTTGGTTTGAGAAAGCTGCTAACCAAGACAATGTTGAAGCACAAATTATTGTTAGTAAAATGTATTCAAATGGGGAAGGGATTAAGAAAAGTGATGAAAAAGCGTTTAAATGGATCAAAATGGCTGCCGAAAAAGACAATTTAGATGCACAATTTATTCTTGGACAAATGTATGTTAAAGGCAAGGGAACGAAGAGAGATGTCCAAATGGCTCTAGAATTGTTTGAAAGTGCTGCTAAACGAGGTCATCTTGAAGCTGGCATTATTTCTGAGATTTCAAAAGACTTGTAAAATAAAGATTCTAGTTATGCTTAAATACAAAAAATAAAAATAAATAAAGTTATGATAAATAACAGTATCATCATCATTTGTAATTAATAAATTTTAAATGTAATATATTTATGTAATACTAAATAAGACGTTTGTGCATTTTGATGTTGGTAAGATTAATCTTTTTACCACGTAAATGTTTCATATCCTTGGATATTTTGTAACTTTGTAACATGGCATGGTAAATTGATTAAAAAAATGTAAAATTTCTTACAAGAAACCTAAGTGATGTTAATTTGTTATTTGGTTCCTTACAAGACTTTTTGTATCTCAAAAGAGACATCGAAACTTTGAACCTTACATACAAAGAGGTTATATTTTATAAAAGTCACTTATTCTCGTTTACCGCAAACTTCTGTTTTGGTATGAAGCAAATTAGGAAAAATTCCGCGCTTCTCAAATAGCATCTTCGGTGAAAAAGTTATAAGATCTTTAATGTTATTAGGAATTATAATATCGAGATATACCGTATAACGAAATTTAAACTAACGAAATATTACATGAATTACAATAATTCAAAAGTTGCGAATGATTGTGGCGCAGCAAATAAATTTGAATGGTTTTTGATTTATTAAAGTTGAGAAAACATTACAATTATTAATTAATCTTAAAATATTAATAAATAGGTTACTATACATTATTTAATTCGTTGTTTATTAAACACTTTGTGTTAAATATTGGTGATACCTCTTCAAATATGAGGAATATGTACTATATCTCATAGTAAAAACATGCTTCCCATTAGCAGCAATCATCAAATCCAGAATAGGAATGAAAAATTTGGTCATCCTTAATCCGTCTCTTTCGTTAACTAGTTCATTCATCGGAATTAACAAATCTTTAAAGTCCTCCAGCATTAACGCGCAAGGGAGCAATTGGATGATTGGTTTTAAACCTTGAACATCTTTCGAATGAGCATCAGATGCTAGATAGAACATTTTGGAGAATGTCATGGAATCGTTTTGCTTACAATCTGCGCTATTTGATAGATTTGAATCCTCATGAAAATACTCAACGATATCGTTGATTAAATTTTTTATCCATTTTCGGCTGAGTTTTTTGAACCCTCCGTCTCCAATTCTAGCATGAGCGCTCAGATAATTCATTCGTCCTCCTAATTCATCAGAAATTCTCTTCGTGATATCAAGTAACGTTGGGTTTGAGATTATAAATGATTCTCTTATCTCCTTCATGAATTGGATATTTCGTGGTATTACAAGTTTAATCAGTGCGGATCCAAACAAACTATTGAAATAAAGTAATCCTTCATCGCGCTCACGTAGCTCTAATATGGAATGTTTGTTTGAAAATTTATTTGACGATTTAATGTTACCATACATTCTACTGTCATAAAAGGAATTCTTTTGTGCATTCCCATACTTTCTCCAAACTTGTTCTTCATCATTTGACATATTGAATTTTAAGAACAAATTCTCCGAGATTAATTCATCCCTGTGAATTATTTTAACATTCCTTGATATAAAGGTGAAATCAAATAATTGATCCCACCTATAAAATGTATAAGAATCACGTAATTTTTCACAATGAGTTAAGTTCATTTTGCTTTTCATGTTCATGCAATTTTTCTGTTTAACTTTGCTAAGAAAATTCAAATAATTCTCAAGCTTATCGAATGCTTGAAAAGGGAAACGCGCACCAAGTATAAGTGGAGGTAATATGAGCGTTCTATTTAATGCCCACGCCATAAATACAGCGTTCTCTAGAGCTATACGTTGGTTATGCAATCCGCTGTGCGGTAAATACGTTATAAATTTTTCTCGTGTGTTCTCAGAAGCTACCTCTTCTTTCACATCGCAAATCTTATTGAAATTGCATAAAGAAGGGTTTAATTTGTTCACGTAGAATATTAATGTAATGAGAAGATATGTTGATAATAGGAAAAGGATAAAAATTCGTCTACTGTATATAGGTTGGGGTAGTGTTCTTAAAAATTTCATTTTTATATAATTATGATCGTTAAGAGGACAGTATTGAAAATTGAAGGAATTTTTAAAGAAAGTAATTGTTGAATTGCAATTTTATAGTGAGCAACTTTCTCTTAAAGGATTAAGTAAATTTTAATTTTATTTTAAGTTGATTAAATCGAGTTACCAACATATGGCAAACCTCCCAATTGTTGATCTTTGTGATTCATCGGACAAATAATGATGGATGAGATTGATTGGTTATCATTTTTTTGTTTTGTTTTCTTTTTTTCCATTTATGAATTGATTGCTTCTTTTGATTTGTGAAAATTATAATCCAAGAAATCCTTATCATGTAGCACTAAACAGTAATTGAATGATTTCTTTGTTTCTCACCTTTTTTATCCAATTTGTTATTAAAATGGTTAAAGTAAGAAAAAAATAATATCATCAGATAAAATAACCTCGTAAGATCTATTTCATAGAGAAGTAAATTAAATCATCGAGATCTAAAAGAAACTGTTGATGAAGCTGATTTTCCTTAGCGTTATAAAAAAAAAAAAATGGTCATTTATTCCGTGGCCTTACTTCGCTTATCAAAAATCAGTAATTTATTACATAAATATGAAAAATATTGTTTTTCATTATTTATTTTTGTTTAATGTTTCACTAATTCAACTAATTCAGGAAAATAAAAGATAAATTTTGTGTATTTTGGAATTTCTTTCGTGTTTCAAATTCACAATAAATAATTATTGGAAAATTCTTTCCAGAAAAACGAAAAGCTGTGTCTCATACGATTTACAAATTTGTCTAAAATTGAAGAAACATTTTATTTTACAAAAAAAAAAAAAAAGAATTGATTATTATATAAAATTTATTAATGAGATCAAATTTAATAAACATTTTATTTTTTTATATTATTTATTAACTTTTTTTCAAAAAATTATTGTTTTACACTAATTTTTAATATATTTAAAATTTTACATAAGGCCATGCAACTTCGGCTGGTTCACTTTTTCAAAAAGTTTATATATAAAAAGTTTATCATGTGACACTAAAGTGTAAATTTATTGGTAGATTAAAGCTTTATTATATTATCGTTATGTATAATTCTTTTATTAGTTACAAATTTCTCCTCCTTTTTTATTTCTAACTAATTTGTTGCATTCTTCACAATATGGAAAATATTCACCATAATTTATATGTTCTTCATATACTACACCACAATTAAAACAAAGTGCTTCTTTATATAATTCACTTGAATAATATGAAGCTTCAATAGGACTATTGCATGTTAGAGTATTATTAACTTTAATAATAGAGAATAATCTTTTCATAGAATCATTTGTACTGTTAGAATCTTGCATATTTGTAGAACTAATTAAGTCATAAAAAGTATTATCACATATATATTGAATTTCATCTAAAAATCTTATTAATTCTTTTTTTTCTTCTAAAGATAATTTTGATTTTGAAGAAATTAAATCAATTTATCACATTCTTTACTTGAATCAAAGTGCCATTATTTTTGCACTAGACTTAAAGCTCATTTTATTCTTTGACTTCTTTATTTCATTTAAAGAAAATCTATATTTTTTGCCATCTTAAATATTTTTTTTAGAATTATCTTCAATGATTAAGAATTATCAATCAAAAGAAGTGAGTTCTATAATATAGTTATTTTTTTATCTGAAGTTACTTTAAAAGTATCAAATAATTCTTCCTTTAATTTAAGTCTTTTAATTAAATTTTCATTAATTTAATAGTAAGATATAAATTATTTAATAATTGCTTTTTAATTCTATTGAATTACATTATTGTTATGTTACACCTAAAAATAATATAAACAATGATCTACAAAAATTAATATAAATAATAATTATTAGATTACCTAATTTGAAAAATAAGAAATGTAAATCATTTATCTATTAATTTAGTAATACAAATACAAATCCTTTTACTATTACACAAAATTGATCATTTAATCCATTAGTAACATTTAATTCATTTTATTCATTTAATTTATTTTTTTATTTAAATTATTTTATTCATTTTTATTATTTTATTTATTATATTTATTTTTATTATTTTATTCAATTTATTATTATTAAAATATATTTTATATAAATAAGTTTTATAAAAAAGAAAACTTGTCTTATAGTAAATTTTTAAGGAATAAATTATTTTATACAGATATGCTGACAGAGGCAGTACTAGTCTTTTGTTTATTAAATAATTAATTACACGCATTTCACTTAAAATTTCTCATTTATCTCTATTTTTTATCTCACATTTTTATTTTTACTCTTCTGTGTAAAGAAAACCTTCTGCTAAACTTCAATATTGCAGGTGATTTACCTATAATCTAAAAGAACTAGCATAATAATATTTTATAATTTCTTCATATTTTTATCCATTTCTACTTTCATTAGTCTTATATACTATAATCCTAAATTTAAAATGAATATTATATATTTTACAGGATTTTTCAAGAATATTTTGATGATATTGTACATACTATTATTAATAAATCTAAATCTAGTGTAAAAAATAAGGCAATTAAAGAAAATTAAACTCGTAAATAATTAATTTAATGATCAGGATCACTATCTGTATAAATTAAAAAAATGGATTTTGCTATTTATTATTTACAAGTTAATTATATAATTCTGAATTATATTATATTAAACAAGATGGTTAAAAAATTGGACTATTTAATCTTATATAAACTTTATCTTAATAAAAAAAATCTTCTATAGATACTAGTATATCACAAAATATTATAATACTAGAAATAATTTTACATTTTTTTAAAGTTATGATCACTAATAATAAAGGATTTATTATATAAAATTATTATTTGTTTTCTTCTTTTAATAGCAGCAACTGAATAATCTAATTTTTTAACCTTATATTTGTATTTATTATCTATAAAAACTAATTATAAATAATCTTTAAAAATAATAGCTAATTCTTTAAGATATCAAAATAATGCTGAAGTATAATGATTATTAATATAATTACTTTTTAATTATCTACTTTTATTATATATTTAGCATCTAATTTTCTAGTATATTTTAAATTAGATAAATAAGTTAGATTTTGTGACTAAAATTAAAGTCTTAATTATTATTCTGATAGTATTTCTATATTTAATAGACATAAATTTGCTATTTGATGATGTAAATCACATATTAAAATAGCTTGTACTAAATGTTAAATTGTATTATATCTTCTTTTATCTACAGCTATTATAGTTTTATTTATAATATTTTTAAAATATTTTAGATATAACTCCAAAAAGTATCAAAATTATTTGTTAAATCTCTATTAAGACATCTAAAATCTAAAATAAATTTTAAATTACCTAATTCAATTATTATATCAATTTTTTATCTATATTTTAAGAAGCTAAAATTTTCTAATACAAAAAAATCATCAAGTAATCAGAAATAATATGACAAAGTCTTGATTTTTTACACTTTCTTATATATAATTTAAAATTATTAATTAATTCTTTTTTCATTGCTTTAATATGAAATATCTTTAATTAATTTTTTAATTTTATTTAAATTTCATAATTTTTATTAACTATTTCTTTTCATTAGCTTCTGAATCAATTTTTCATATATATATTATATTTTGAGTTAATTCATAATAGTATTAATATAATCTAACTTTAAATAAAAAGGTTATATTTAATCCTTCAATAAACCTATACCTTTTTATTCTTTCTTTAGAATAATACTCATTTATATTAATAGGTCTCAAAATTCTATCTCTTCTATTTATTTATTAATATATATTTATTTAATTACATATTTGTTAATATTCAAATATTTTAAATATTTAGCTAAATTTCATCAAATTTAGTTAATAATTCTTTTAACCAATTAAATATATTTATAATATCCAGTTTAATTTAATATAATTAAATATTTTTTTGCTATATCTTCAGAATAAAAGATATAATTTAATAAAATTATATTAAAATTTATTAAAAATCTACAAAATTTAAAAAAAGATAAACTATATCAAATTTATAAAAAATAATATAATTATATTAAATCTTAATAAAATATTAGTAAACTAAAGTTTTAAATATTTTATCAAATTAAAAATAAGTTTAAATAAACAATTTTAACTAAAATTAACTTTAATTTACAATATTAATCCTTTTAGTAAAAAGTTTATCTGATACAAATAATTAAAATTTTGAATAATAAATCTTTTTAATTAATTATTTTACTATTTAAAAAAAAATTTAGAATTTATAGGATTAGACTTTTACTTTACATTAATATTAAGATGAAGAAATAAATTTTTATAATACATTTATAAATATCAGATATTCTATAAATTTTAAGTTAATGATTTATTAATATAAAGCTTTTTCTATCATTTTAATTATATATTTAGAATCAATCTTTTCAAAATGATAATATTATATCTTCTCTATTATTAGATGTAAACAAATATTAAAATATAAATAATTATTATAATTATGTTTATAATTAAGATTTGTTAAGCTTTATTGCTTCTTTTATTTTACTAGAATTAGACCTAAGTTTTTTTTTTGTAGAATATATAGGAGCATAATATAATAATAAAAAAATTTATTATAAATTTACATAAAAATTTTTTAAATTTTTAAATAAAAATCTATATAATTGATTTTATATTAATACTTTAGTATTTAAAAGTAATAATTATATTAAAAAAGATTTTGAAAATATGAAAATAAAAAATAAAGTATATTTAATAGAAAATTAAAGTAAAATAATATATAGAATAAAGATAAAAAAATTTAGTATTCTATCATTAATAAGCAAAAAAAGAGTCTAAAAAATAAAAAACTTAAGAAAATATAAAAAAATAAAATATAAAAAAATATAGCTTAAGTTAATTTAATAATTTATTTTTATTATTAATAATTAAATAAACTATAAATACAAGATTATAAATTTGATATTTTGTATCTTATTTTAGTAATAGAATAAACCAATTTTAATAGTTGATAACTGATAAAT